GTATTCATTCTACCATCTATTACTGATATGTTTCCACTACCTTTTGCAGAAAAAAAATCCCCAAACCATAATACTTTCATAATGGTTTAGTTTTCAGACATGACTCTGCATGCTGGGACCATCTCTTATTGTTATCAAAGTCATCACCATAACAAATTGATAATGGTGAGATTTGAACCCAGAATGCTAATGTACTAACCACTTGGTCATATACTCATGATATAATTATACATATAAGCTCAAACATAGGTTCATCAATGAATCACAAACATAGGTACATCAATAAATGTCTAATAATAAAACTGTATTCATCTTGCACCTGAAATCTTTTTTTCAACATAATGTCCTTCTTTGACCTTAATTTAGTGGTGAAAATTAATGACATACATGAAATATTATATGAAACTTTCATTAAAATTCGATTAAAAGATGTTGGACTGCAGATATACTGATCTGCTCTTGTATATTGGGTTGAAACAAAATATATATAAATAAAAAAGAATGAACAGTAAGTTATATAATCCGATGTTCTTATTGATATTTTTTTATTTTTACAAAACAGTGCTCAATGTAAATTTACAGAGCATAAATATTATAAATTTACTGATTTAAAATATGGTTTCACTATGGTTTATTATATAATTAAAAAGCATTAGTTCTGTTTCATCTTCAAGCGAATTTTGAATAACTTATTTTTTAAATTTCTGTGTTTTAAATGCACATATAAATTCATAATTTCCTGTTTCCAGGGATACAGAGAAATCCAATCATTCAGACAAGAGGCGGTAGCGTGTTCATTTTTATTAACTATTGTTGTATCAATTATGAGTTACGTTCGAAAAAGAGGTTAAGTTTAGGGAGGGCAAGGGTGTATTTTTTAACGAATTCTGACATCTGTTAAACACATGTTGTCTGGTTTTTTTTTTTTTTTTAACGGCAGCTAAAAGTTTTTCAGCATTTTTTCATACTTGTATACTTAAATATTCTATCATGGGTTGTTTAAATACGTTTTATTTAACTACAATTTTAAAAATATTTTTACTCTTAATTACTACTAGACTATATTTCTTTTTAAAACAAGTAAATGTAATAGAATTACTTAAATTATTTAAAATTTTTTTTCATATCAAATATAAGTATGTATATTACCAGCTCCCATTTTTTATTTTTTTACTTTTAAATATTATTTAAGGAAAATTTTTTTTGACAATGACGGCAAAGAATAGCTATTTCATTTCTTTGACTCAGTAAATTCATATTTGTTTAAAAACTTAGTAATATATAGTTTCTCATGCATGCACAACGACATGAGACATTTAATGACCTAAATATTCTAGCTTTACTTATTAATTTCCATTTTATTGTAGGTGTTTTATTGATTCATTTAAAGTGCCAGAAATATTTTGAAAGGGATGTCTGATTTCTGTATTTATTTATCCTAAATGAAGTTTGATGTTGATTGAACCGCTTTTTTTGAACTCATGGCTTGTGCAACCTATAAAGATTTTTATGTTTTCAGGATTCTCAATAGATGAGATATTGCATTGGTATACTAATGATTCCATGCAACATTTATTTTGTAGAGGACAGTTATGAGGATTTCTACAGTTACATAATTTTTGTTTATCTTCATCTTTTTTTTTTATTTTACATTGTCTAAATTTCTTTGGTTTTTAGTCTAAGTGTTTATTGAAGATATTAGCATTATGTTTCTTAATAATTTTTCTAAGATTTCAGTACAGCTGTAACTTAATTTTAGTGTATTTTTTATTGAAAATAGTACTTAGTTTACTTTCTCTAGGAAAAAGTGCTTAACTATTAATGCAAGGAATTTTTGTCCTAATTTGTTCTTTACCATTTGGTTGTATGGGGTGTATACCAAATTATTTTTCTACTTCTGTTTTTTTCTATGCTTTCCATTTTCCTTTTTTTATATGTTAGTTTTGGGTTTTTTATAGTCACTATCTTTTAGAGCTTTATTATAGAAATTAATATGTTCATGGAAAATCTTCTTTTTTGTATTTATTCTTTTTCAATAGATAAAGGTTCTATTTTAATTATAGATGGAGGATGATTTGATTTAGAATTATATATATATATATATATATATATATATATATATATATATATATAAAGGATTGGTATTGGGTTTTTATAAGGTATGTATACATTTTTCCATTAAATCTAATGTTATATCAAGGAAGTTAACTTTTTTAATTTAGTGCTTACCATAATTTTTAAGTTCAGGCTTTTAAATTCTTTATATAATATTTTTCTAATTTTATCGATTTTAAAGTTAGTAGAGTTCTGTATAACCATAAGTCCACTGTCTCTGTATAAACCAATGTCAGTTATATTAATTTCACGGTACTCTGTGAGATTGTATAATATAAAAAAGACCTATAAGATCAGAAGACTCAGCTGAGTCTAATGATCCCATTGTGATGTCAAAGTGGTCATATGAATTTTTTATTCATTGCTTACCTTTATGTATCAGTACTGATTTTTTGCATTTACAATAATGCTCTTTTCTTCTTCAGTAATATCTGTGTACTGGGTAGCAAAGTCCAATGCATTCATGAACAGTTCTTTAGATATTGATTGATAATTTTTCAATATCAAACAATTTGTTTAAAATAATTTTCCAAATATTATTATTCTTATATATAATTTAAACTAATTTAAAGGACTAAAACGGATTTAATTTTTAAGTTGAAAGACATAGTCTTAAATTTATATTCTTACAGGTCCTATCTTCTTAACTGGGTTTATTGATAATCATAATTTTCTTGTTTCCTTCCTGACTGGGTTGCATACGTTTCTGAGCAAAAAAAATTGTCACGTGGGTTTTATATTCAGCCTGTGTTAACAATGAAAATTTGATTGCAAATATATTCAATTGTTTCTGGATATTTCTCAAAAACTTTATTTGGGGTCAACACAATTTTTTAATAAATTGCTTTACAATTTCTATTTAGATATGTACTAGTCCCTAAATAAACAATAAATCCTTCGATTTCAGCTTTCAACTTACAATATTGGATTTATTTTCTTTGATTTCTGGCAATTATTTTTTCTAAATTTTGATATTGACTATTCAATTACTAAATATTTCAATTCATCATTTTAAAAAAAAAAAAAATTAAATTTATAGATAAAGCCCTTCGTATCCTGTGGGCTGTTGTTGTTTAAAACAATTTTTTGTAATTAATATATATTATTATTAATGACAAAAAATTAAAAATATTAGATATGCTATTATTATTTTTATTATTAATATTATCCCTATTATTATATTATATAATTATTATTATTATCAAACATTAAGAAAAATATTTAAGAAAAAAAACAGTTTTGTTCAATTACACTGAAATCTATGGAAAAATCTTCTACTCATATAATACGCACCCACACAGGTAAACAAACCCTATAAAATTATCTACCTCTTCAAAATCATTAAAATGTTTCCTTTCTCATTTTAAAAATGGTTTTTGTATAGAATTATTATTCTAATTTAGTTTTATTTTTATAATTCTTATTTTATTTTCTCGGAATAATTATTAACATGGTATATATGATTATTTTTGACATATTTATGGGTCAATATCTTTTCTGTGTTTGTGTCAAATTTCCATATTTTATGCTTTTATATTTTTTTCACATTAAATGGAATTAAAAAACAGAATGCTGAAAAAAAATTTTTTTAAAATAATACGCATCCTTAATTTTTTTATTTTTCTATTTTTTTTGATCATATTATACATATAATTACGATTTTATTTAAAAATATAAATCTAAATGAATAATAACTCCAATTTGAAGTTAAAATGTTTTGTCTTATAATGACAAAAATATCTGTCCTATTAATGAACAAAACATTAAACACCATATAGCTGAAGGCATGAAACTTTCACGCTTAGTGATTATATTCATCTTGGAATATTTCCTTTAGTTGATAAAACAAGAGAATTAATCAAATAAAGCATAGTATAAATATTTGGAATTTTAAATCTAACTTTTTGGTACAGATATCTTGTTGAAATATTTATAAGACTGTTTTCTTTCCTTTTTCTTTTTTTTTAAATTGTAAAATCTTAATAAACTACTGTAATAATAATAATAATAATAATAATAATAAACCCAATAATAATAATATAAAAATCCGTACAATTTCTATAAATATAAATTTGTCTATGAAACTATATAGATCTAGTTAGATAATTTTTTTAACTTTTATTTTTTTGTACATTATCATATGATTTATCTTATAATGGTCTTCTAATCAATAAATATACATGAATAAATATTAGCTAACAACCAATGCATTTGTATATAAAAACTTTCCTGCAATCCTCGCACATTTAAAAAAACCTTGCCCAATCTATTCATTGATGAAACATAAAAGCAATTTCTTTTCTCAAATGCTTTTCAGGATCTATTGGCGATCTTTAAACAAGCAAAGTCAGCGTACTCAAGACTTTTTCCTTCCGGGTTTAATAAATAAGGGGAACGTCATTTGGCCATATTTTCAAACGATTATTCAAAAATCATGCCAAAAGTTGGGCTAATTCTCCATCTTCGAATCCGATATATTGATAAAAAAAAATATACTTTTGCATGAAAAAATTTTAACAAATATAAGGTTTGTTGTATAAAAATGGAAAATAGAAAATTACAGATAGACGGACGGCTAGAAGAAAATATAGAAAGAAATAATTTCGTAAACTAGATTTCAAAGATATTTTGGCCTCGTGCAGGTCATACAAATGGAAAAGTCTTAAAATCGGACCTTTGATCGTTTGTTGTTCCATTATAAGGGTTTCCTTTTCGATCAAACAGTCATCATTTTTTTTGCATAGATCACAACACTTCTCCTAACTATCATGATTGATTCATGGCGATTTTGATGTCATCAACAATGATATATCATTTCCTCCTCAATCTTCACCACGCAATATCAATGGGCCATCTTTAATACGTAAACCGGCATCTTCTTCAAAATGATTATCTCCTTTTCTATCTCCGTCTCATTCTTTCGTTTAATTAACATCTCCCTTCAGATTACTTTGTTTAAATCATCTCGTTCGCTGTTGTTTTCTATCTCTTCTTAAAACTGATTTCGTTTCTCTCTTTCCGCCTTTTGTTTTTCGTTCATCGTTTCCTTTTACTTTATTTTTACGTCATTTATATCTTCAGACCCGCCTTATAATTATTCTAACTCATAAACTTCGACCGTTGATTTATTCATTTCCATCTATTGAATCTTTTTATTCTAAATCTTTTTATCTATATTTCTTGCAAATATCTCTCTGATCTCTATCTATCTCAATTTATTCATTTTCAGACATCTTTCTATCTATCTATCTATTCTATCTATCTATCTATCTATTCTCAGCCTGTTCATATCTATCCTATCTATCTATTATCTCATCTATCAATCTAAATCTATCTATCTATTCATTATCTATCTATCTATCTATCTAATCTATCTATCTATCTATCTATCTATCTATCTAGTCTGTTCAATATCTATCTATCTATCTATCTATCTATCAATCCCAATCTATTCATCTATCTATCTATCTATCTATCTATCTATCTTTCTATCTATCTATCTCAGTCTAATCTATCTATCTATCTATCTATCTATCTATCTATCTATCTCATCTGTTCATCATCTATCTATCTATCTATCTATCTAATCTAATTTTTCTATTTTCATCTATTTCTATCTATCTATCTATCTATCCATCTATCTATCTATTTATCTATCTTATCTATCTATCTATCTATCTATCTATCTATCTATCTATTCATATCTTCTCTATCTTTCTATCTATCTATCTATCTATCTATCTATCTATCTATCTATCTCAGTCTGTTCACATCTATCTATCTATCTATCTATCTATCTATCTATCTATCTATCTATCTATCTCAGTCAGTTGTCTTCTATCTATCTATCTATCTTTCTATCTATCTATCTATCTTAGTCTGTTCACATCTATCTATCTATATCTATCTATCTATCTCTAGGTTCACATAATATTTATCTATCTATCTATCTATCTATCTATCTCAGTCTGTTCAATCTATCTATCTATCTATCTATCTATCTATCTATCTATCTTCATCTATCTCTATCTATCTATCTCAGTCTACTATTATCTATCTATCTATCTATCTATCTATCTATCTATCTATCTCAGTCTATTCACATCTATCTATCTATCTATCTATCTATCTATTATCTATCTATCTATCTATCTATCTAATATTAACCTGTTTTTTTTTTTCTTTCTCTGTGTTATCTGCTCTACCTATCTTTATCTCAGTCTTTAAACTTAACTCATATCTCTCTATTCTTAAATCTATTTATCTATCTCTCACATCTAGTCTTTCTCTTTTTCCTCTTTCTCCATCTCTTCTCTCTGTTTATCCATTTCTTTAAGGCATTTTAAACTGGCTAAAATCTTAAATATTCTTTTCTTCCCAATTCTTTGATTTTTCTCTCTCTTTTTTCTCTCTTTTCTCTGCATTTAATTTAATTGTCCTTCTCTCTTTCTTAAATTCATCTCTCTTACCAACTCTAATTCATTTTTTCTTTCTTTCTTTCTTTCTTTATTTCTTTCTTTAATTCAATTCTTTCTCATTCTTAAACTTATTCTCTCAGTTCAATCCTTTCTCTTTTCTTTCTTTTCTTTCTTTCTTTCTTTCTTTCTTTTTTCTTTCTTTCTTTCCATTTCTTATTCCTCAGTTCATCCTTTTTTTTTCTTTTCTTTCTTTCTTTTCTTTTCTTTCTTTCTTTCTTTTTTCCATCTGTCTTATTCCTCGGTTCATCCTTTTGTTCTTTCTTTTTTCTTTCTTTTCTTTCTTTCTTTTTTCCATTTCTTTCAGTTCTTTTTGTTCTTTTTCTTTCTTTCTTTCTTTCTTTCTTTCCATCTGATTCATTCCTCAGTTCATCCTTTTGTTCTTTCTTTCTTTCTTTCTTTCTTTCTTTCTTTCTTTCTTTTCTTTTTCTTTCATTTTCCTACTGTCTTTCTTCCCGTCTTTTTCTTTCTTTATAACTTATTTTATTCCTAATTTGTTGGTAATTTTAATACTTTATGTATAACTTATATTAATGTGGTTTTTCAAGTGTCACCGTGATACGCCTATATATAATAACTCACTCTTCCTTCTTCTTCCTCCTCCTCACCTATTTAACTATTTCTTTCTTCTTTCTCTTATCCCCCCCTTGTTTTATACAATGTGTCTTTTTTTATCTTCTTTTTCTCTCCCTGCTGAAAAAATTAATTGACACTCAAATTGTCTGGTTTCTTGCCTGGATACACTTGAACCTTCGTAAATAATTAAAGATGGTTTAAAAAATCTCACCCCCAATTTCAGTATAGACAAGCTTATAGTCCTTCCTCCCACCACCTCTGTCACTTATATCAATCTAAAACTATTCCTCAAAAACACTATTAAAAATATTGTATTAAAAAATAAAAGAAACAAAATTTCTTTGTAACTAGAGATGTGACATGATGAACCAGGAAAAGTATATTTTCTAATAAATAAAATATAGTCATGGAAACTTAAGGTTGTCTGTTTCTTAATTATTTAATTAATATTTTTATTTGCTAGAAAACTAGTAACATTTATGAGTGCTGTGCAACATTTAGGCTGTTCATGTTCTGCACTTTGCTCACATTTCATAATTTTTCTTCTTTTTTGTTGTGACACATTTTATTTATCTCATAAATCCCACTCGAAGGTTCCTGGACCTTATTGTGTTTAAAAAACTTGGTCTAGTAAATTATTTAGTTTCTTGTTTTATTGCGGTTCATCACCTGTTATTTTAAATATGACAGAAGAAGATCTACCAGATCAGTGACCGACAAAATTTGGGATTCTTCTTTTGATTTTATCAGTGGACAGCGTTCCTATACATTTTTGTCAAATAAAACAGCACCGACTTTTAATTAGAATACATTCCAAGCTTCAAAATAATGGTAGACATATCATGATAAGCATGATAGATTTTTTTGAGAACGTAAAGATCGCCGACACAGCAAACGAATAATCTTTTATTGACCTTTTCAATAGATTCAGTATATTCTTTCAACTTCATAAAGTTTTTGGCATTCATCCCCATACTATATCTGGATGTTTCATCCATTTCTTTACTAGTAGAGTTCCTTTTCTTTGCCAGCTCGGACAAGTGATGTGTTTCTTGTTTGTTTACGGTTTTTGTGATTCTGTGGTGCCAGTTCTGGAGGTTCCCTCACTCAAAGGCTATTTTAACCATTGATCTTAAAAAGCGGTTGTTATATAGCTGACGGTTTAGATATTTCTCAACAGGTTTGGCACCATGCATATGAGGTCTCTCAATCTGAGGGATATTTAAGAAAGGTGTCATAAAAGACAACAACAAAAGATGGAGTAAAATGGTAATAAGATAACGATGAAGACCGAAATGATTTCATCCAAAAAGAATAAAATAAAAAATTCTGTTATTCATCATCTGATCCTATGATTGGGTGAAGTTATGGGGTTGTTGGGAACCTGACCAACTCCCAACACATATCTCCCATTGTATGTGTTGGGCAAAAATGCAGCCGGTGGAGACCATCCCTCTCTAGAATCAATTCACAGATGATGTCACCAACTTGAAGGCTTGCCTTGGTCATGGACACATTTTGTTCATCGGGCAGAAGAACCCCTCTGCTGAAAGCCTTTTCAAGGTCTTCATCATGAATTTTAATGTTTTTTTTTTGGCATTCATTTCTGTCACCATATCTGAAGAATGTTTCATCCTATTCTTTACTAGACTGAGGTTCCTTTTTCTTTTTCAACTCCTGGCATCTAGTTTTGGCGATGTTGGGACCTCCTGATAAACTGCTAAAGTCAAAGTAATCAATATGATTGATGAAAATGACCATATGGTTTTTTTAATTGGGCAAAAGTTATCAAATACCTTTGTTATCTATCATCCATCATGTCAACTTTGTAATCGGGGCATCAACAAATGATCCTTTCTTTACCTATATAGTATGTGCTACGCTAGAGTTACTTTCTCCTAGACAGTTGACACCCAAGGCTATAGAACCTCAGTCTGTCCTGCTATTTACCCATAGCTGGAGGGAGAGGATTTCCCCTTTCTCAATGGTAAGTGAATGTAATGAATCGAACTGAACTCTCGAACTCTCTGCGATTCCTCAATCCAATCTACTATCCATTACTCCACTGAAATACGCCGAATTTTTTGGCAATAAAATGTTTGTAACATTTATAATGCTTAAAAAAAGGATAAATAAATACAGACTAGAAACGCAGTACTTTATTTTAAGGTCTCAACATTGAAAATGACTATTTTAACAGTCGAGAAAACGCATTCCTCAGCAGGTGATTAAATTACTCAACAGTGAACGTTTTTGGCACATTCATTTAAAAAGTCTCCCGATCTGATGAGGCTATTTGAGAAAGTTGGCTCTTAGGCAAACATTTTTTAAGATGGAGTTGGAACAAGTCCAAGATAATTTTATAGGAATACCATCTAAAACAATAAAATAAAAATTATTTTTTATTCATCATCAGTCCTATGACCGGGTGGTTCTAAGAACATAAAGTTCTACACATGTCTCATTACGTGTCTTAGCCTACACCCTACTCTCTACTTTGCCTATCTTTCTCCTAGGTCAAACCACAGATGATGTCACCAGCAGAAGGCTTTCTAGGTCATGGACACATAATGCATTGATTCCATCAGGATCGGGAAAAGACTCTGTCCTGACGTTTTATTTGAAAGCCTTCCATTTTCTTTTAGATGAATTTGATTTTTTAATCAAAAAGAATATTTGGGTGATGTCTTATCCAGGTAAGTATTAGACTGAAAGAAATGTTCTTTAGAAGTTGTACCCTTAGACGATAAACTTTTAAACGTTGGATTCACGTCCTGGGAGAAACGATAAAATAAACAACAACAGAAAAACACATGTTTTCTGAAGGTTTTTAGAAGGAACCACCTCTTCATTAACAATTTTTATCCTAAAATTATTAAAGAAATATTCACCTGTTGGGGTTTATAATTATGGGAAGATTAATATGAAAAAAAGACAAAAGAAAAAAAACTATAGAAACTTTAAAAATTTCTGAGGTTTTAATACAAGAAACATTTATAAAATATTACTAACAATACATTTTTTGAAAAAAAAATAACCAGCATACATTTTTCCAAAAATATTACCAGATGGTTTTAAAAAAGATATACCAGGCAAAAAAATTATAGCAAAATAAACTAGGAGGCGTTGATATGCCATAAAACAAACCAAACCAAACTTTTTTTTTAGTTCAATATCAAAATTTTGTTATTTTTTTTAGCGATTATCTAGTTTCACTATAAATGTAAAAAAATAGAACGTCCCTAGTTAAATGTTTTTTATGGAAATTTTTTTTTTTCATCTTCCTTTTTGTCATTTTTTGTTTCATTTACGCACTGTCATAAAGAAAAAGTGATGTGTTTTTATTTTCAGAATATTGAAAAAAAAAGTGAGGCAGAAATTGCCTTTTTCTGGGTAAAACAAGAGTTTTTTTCATTTTACATATATTTTATCTGAATTTTTACATACACACAGTCTCCAAAGTATTCAGCATACAGCTGAAATGTTTCTAAATTTGTTGTATTTGGAAAATGCATAAAAAGTAAATGCTTAATAATTTCTTTAAATTATGAATAAATTTATATCTTTTTATAGAAGTCATTGAAAATCCATACTGCACAAAGAGTATAAAATCCAAAGCTCTGTATCTTCATTTAAAATCTTGCTCTTTCTTTTTTAAAATGATGCTTTATTTACATCATTTTAAATTCACATGAAAATGTTTAGGTGAATTTTAATTGTTGGTAATAAATATTTTATTGCAGGAATATTATACAGTGCATGGTAGTGATGCATTGTTTGCAGCCAGAGAAGTTTTCAAATCCTTGGGGGTCGTTAAATATTTGGGGTCTGGTAAGTTTTCTTTCTTAACTATTTTTCCTACTACTTTTTTTCTTCCTATAACTACAATTTATATAAATATTTAAATATGTTGGGTGGTTCTCAAAGTTATAATTAGAAAATTGTAAGTAAATTTTAATCAAATTTTAATCATATAATCATATTTACCAACTAATGTCATTTTATGTCCTATAGAAAGACTTGTGGGGAGTATATCATCATTTTTGTTTTGAGAACTGACCTCTTGCATTTGCATGTTTGTGTGTACAATGAGATTATAGTTCACAGAAATATTATCCAAATCCCATTTGTTTTAACCTAGAAATGGTCACTGAATGAGGAATAACCAAAACAGAGGTTGGAAATGAAATGGTAATCTTTATAACATCAACAAAATACAATACTTGTAAGCAGCAGGTAAACCACTACTAGTAGTGGACTACTTAGTATATTACCCCCTTATAATAGTGTCCAACGTATTTGAGGATTGGGGCATATCCATTAGTGTTCATAAGTACTGTATATAACCCCCCCCCTTTTTTTTTTCTGCACAGCCCGTATCTTTTCCTTTTTGGGTTAATGTCATGTCAAGTCAATTCTCTTTGTATCCCTTCTTTTTTGGACTTTTGTCTCGAGAGCTTTCCGAGGAATGGGCACATCAAATGTGTCAAAAAGACCTTCCATAGGCTCAACATCCACTGGAGTATTGTTCTCTTCATCTATATTCCTACTTGATTCCAATGCACCATTTTTGGTCCTTTGACTAAATATATCATTCTACCAATTCTTTTGATGATAGTTCTAACTTCCCAATATCTTTTCCCTGTCTGATACATTTGGTAAAAAAATCTTTTCACCCGCTTAAAAAATTAAATTTATTTCCAGTTTTTTTTTGTTTTTTTTTTATACCATATGTTTAACTTTTTCTTATTCAGTATCAGCCTGTCAAAAACTGATCTTAATTCCATGCAAACATAATTTCTGGCCACAGGTGCATTTTTATTTACTCCTGTCTTTTTTCTTCATTTCCACAATAAAATTGTCAACCAATGCTTTTTTTTTTTTTTTATTTCTTCCAAAGTCACAGGTAGTTCCTGCACACTATTGCATAGAACACTTTTTTAATCTACTTTCACTTGTAGATCGGCCATGGCCGTTTCTTTCAAAGGTTCGTTATTTTTGGGGGATAAGTCTGGACAATCCGTTTGCATGACTCAGTTTACTTGATGGCAAGAATTCCATCCTGAAATCATAAGATGGTACCACATCATTGTAACCTATTAGCAGTATGGGTCAGTAGGCCTTTTTTGGACCCATAAATAGCTAGCTGTGATCTGTTTGTAAGGTAAACCTTCTTTGTGGATGAATCTATGAAATTTCGTAAGGGCAGACACACCCTAGCTAAGTTTGTTTGAAGAAAGAGGGAAAACTAAAAACAAAAAAATGACCTACACTAACCTATACACGGGAAGGTTTGCCATTGTTCAACCAAGCAATCCCAATATTCTTACAGTCTGACTGGCATCAATATACCACTCAGCACTTTTCACTCTGCAGAGATGCGCAAGACTCGCCCACCTTTTGAAAAATTCCAATGGATGGAGTCACTTCCTTTCCATCCTGATCTTGACTTTAAGCTGATGCTTAAAGAAAAGGATCAGTTGGGAAGAGGTAAACTTCTCGGGCCCCATGGAATTCGTGTCGTCCATATCACGACTCTCATAACCCCCAGTAAGCAAAGGAACACATAGTGCTCAGCTTTAGTCAACAGCGGTACTATTTTGCTACAGACGGAACTGGCCTCGAGGAGAAAGAAGTTTCCACGCTGCATGCGAACCATGGTGTCTTCAACAAACTTGCACAACGGATCTACGACACTACAATGAAAGAAGGCGTGACCTAGGGTCTTCACCTCCCCATTGCAGCGAACACAGTTTGGCAACCTAGCCAAACCCACTGCATGAAGTCTTTTGGCAACCCAGAGGGCCCCTCGAATCAACAGCCAGGTGAGTGATGCCTCAGTGTTATTCAGACATTTCAACCAAGGCCATATGCAGCGAGCCTCCCACTTCATCAGACCGACCTCGCCTATCAAAGCATCTTGAACGTTCCCCCTAACTAACACCTGATATAATGCCTTACGGGACAACGGCTGGATGTCAGAGGCCATCCTTTGCCCTTAGCTCGAATACGGCCGGCCTCCTCCTCGCATGAGCACACACTTCTTAAGGATAGAAATTGTCTACATGTGTCTTCCTTCCAGAATTCGCCATTCTCATCCAAATGCATACACATTCAGTCTAGATAAGTGATGCGAAGCATATGTCGACGAATCTCAACACAAGGCATCCCCAGACCGCCATCATAAGGATAGAGGTAACAGATCTCGCGACTAACCATGGCAGTCATCTCGCAACTAACCATGGCAGTCTTGCCTCTCCACTAGGAAAGAGAACAAGAGCCTTACAAATGCCAATAAAGTGTCAGACGGGGGTGGAAGCACAAAAAGTCAGTAAAGGAGAATCAGGTAGATGTGCGAGGTACATACTTCCGCCCTCCCCTTCAAGGAAAGATTCCTCCGAGTCCACAGACGAACTGCAAGCTCAGCCTTCTCTGCACATCCAACCAATTCATTTCCAACAGGTGGTTGGGACCAATCCAGACGCCAAGTATTTTGACCAGAGGAAAGATCTGGGAAGAGAAACTCCCTTCCACAAACCCGACCGCAAGCCAACAGACTTATCGCAATTAATCTTGGCCTCTGTCACCATCTTATAGCCTTTCATTTCATTGCTGACTTCGTTAATTTCAGCTCTGCTCAACACAATAACCAAAACTGGCCGAGGTGGTAGCACCAGGTAAGGACCGGATTCGTCTTCAACCTAGGCAGGAAAGGTTCCAACGCAAGAATGTACAGCAATGGAGAAAGCGGACAACCTTGACAAATGGAGCGAGACAAAATGAAAGGTTTTGATCTTACCCTATTCACTTCTACCAGCGCACCGGGGGATGCATACAGAAGCCGGATCCAAGTGTGAAAGTCCAGGCCGAAACCGGCAGCCGAAAGAACAGCCTCCAGAAATCAATGGTCAGCCCTTTCGAAAACCTTGGACTGATCTAAATTGATCAGCGCGGCATCACTGTTGACTTGCTCGTTGATCAAGTGTACCAAATGTAGGTTGTCCTGAATAGTCCTGCCCTTCACATCACAAGTCTGCTCAGGACCAATCAGACTAGAAAGGACAGCCTGTAAATGGCCGGCTAAGACCTTGGCTAAAATCTTCAACTCTGTGTTTAACATCGTCAAAGGCCGATAATTATCTAATCCATCCCCACCGTCTTTGTTCTTGCAAAGCAACTTGATCACAACCCTGGTGAAACGTTGAGGTATAGACCCCTGCTTCATCCAGTTTTTGTAAATCAGCGCTAGCAAGGGGACAAGGACTGGCGACTGCCTCAAGTACATTTCGTAAGGTAGACCATCTAATCCTTGAGTCTTGTCCAGGCCAACCTGTTTCAGCGCATCTCAGACTCTGTAATGGGACCCTTGCACCCAGCCACCTCAAGGCGGGGAAAGTCGGCTAAATAGGTGTCAAACTGAGCAGTGCTCAGACAGGGCTGCCTGGTAAACAGCTCCTGAAAGTAGTCCCGAAAAGCCTCACAAATGCCCATGTCTGTAGTCACAGTCTGCTTGTCCAGCAATGTGATGCTTGCAATATGCCGACTAGATGCCCGACGATCTTCCTCTGCACACAATGAAGCAGCGATGTTCATAGCCTCGCAAGACATTCTTTTTATCCTATCCCGAACTACTAGAGCTTGACCCTTCTTGATAAGCAAGGAGGCCAGCTCCGCCTTAGCTATGGCTACATCCACACTATCACAGTATTTTATCGCCCGATCTACTTTAGCCTCAAGAGACTTTTTGTGCTGCTAACCCTGCTAGATTGTGTCAACAACTAAAATTAGCAGCAAAAGACCTAAGTTTCAATTTCAGATTATCCCACCACTTATTCCCAACCACAGCCCCGACAATTCCCGCTGTAGCATTAGTAGAAGCTAGTCCCGGGAAATCTTGCTCACCAAATAATGATGCGTTCAATTTCCAGTAACTAGCCATCTTAACCTTAGGCTTATCTAAGTTTACCTAAACCTGGACAAGCCTATGATCCAAGTAAACTATAAAATGGAAACTTGGACATTCTAAGAGCCCTACTTCAACTCTTTTAACTAGAACTTGGTCGATGTAGCTTGCGCTCACTACCGAATCAGAGCTGCCGCTCTTAGTCCAAGTCCATACTACCTTCCAGGGGTGCTTATTTCGATACTTATCGAGATCAAACCCATCAATGAAATCCCAAAATGACTTAACATCCCAGTTGTTAGTACCTAATCTCGGCCATATACAATCGATATCAAGGACGTCATTCCAATCACCCGCTAGAACTACCGAACAAGATATCATCAAAAAACAGTGTGATCTGCTGAAACAAAGCAGGCCGCTGTGCATGGTCATTGGGCGCATAAACCCCAAACATTTGAAACAGTTTTGTGCAGGGAGGGTCCCAGTTTTAGTTCACCCCTCCCTCTATAGAGCACTGAAACTGACATTTCCCTGGGATATAGGCGGGCTCTTCCAAGACAGCACCATCAAGACCGAGATGGGCCATGGGTCAATGGGAGAGGCTGTCAGTATCCTTACCCCGACCATGTTCAGACCAGTGTCCCAACCCTAATCGGTCTGATAATGGCACTCTAGTTAGCAGGTTTGAATATCCGGGGCCACTCGAGCATCACCCATTCTTACCTCCTTAAGAAGGAGGCAGCTCCAATCTATATACCATGCCAGGAGGCTTATACAATATGTCACATTTTGACAAACTGTTTAGACTTGAAGCAAACTCGCCAAAAGTACTACAAAGAAACAAACTGAAAGAAGTATTCCTCAAGTAAAACCTTCAAAAATAAAAAAAATACCTTATACGAGAAGGTTTCATCCAAAAAGAACACAT